GGTAAGGGGATCTTAACCCTTGACTTGGTGTTGTCAGCACCACGCTCAGCCAGTGAGCAAACCGGCCATCCCTATATGGGATCCGAACCCTGGGTGGGAGCGCCGCCGTGCTCCCAAGCGGCGCACTCTCCAGTGCGCCACCGGGCCGGCCCTTCTCTTCTGTTTGATTTACATAATGTTTGACCTCCCCGTAAGATTTCATTTGAAGAAATAGTTCAGTGGCTAAGATTTTCAGCAGTTGAAAAAATATAAACCATTTTCATTTGCACTTTATGACGTAGCTATTTTGGAATGTGCTAGAATTCTTCTGATACTTTAAGGAGCAGACAATTTAGTAACTATGGTTAAAATATTTTGGTACATTTAGAACACTAAAGACTTGCTTTTTTATTTATAATACTTCATGTTTAGGGGAGAGTAGGCAAATTGACATTTAGATATGGCATCTCGTCTCCATTTAATTGTAAATGTTAGATCATACAGTTTGAGTAATCTTTTTTTCTTGTCGAATTAGTCTCTGCACCACCTTGTCACTGCAGTGGGAACCAGAGATCATAGCAGTAGCAGTGATGTATCTCGCAGGACGTTTGTGCAAATTTGAAATACAAGAGTGGACCTCCAAACCCATGTATAGGAGATGGTGGGAGCAGTTTGTTCAAGACGTCCCTGTTGATGTTTTAGAAGGTACTGGGCATGCTAAGCTTTCTTGCAAGTTTGTTGCATGTTTCAATTATTCTTCCCTGTGAACTCTGGGTACCAAGAGTGGATTTTCCCAAATGGGCATATGTAAGCAATTTTTCAGAAGCATCTTTAATTAAAGTCTCTAATATAATTTTCACTTTGTCCAAGCACATAGTTTTGGTGAACTAAAAATACACAAGGATGAGGTGAGTTGCAAATGTGATCCCTGCTCATTGTTCCTTATGGGGAATCATAGCCAGTTAATTTTCTAGGTAAAATTTTATTTAAAATGTCAGTTTGTGGTAAATGTAATCTTTGGCTCTCATTTAGACATCTGCCACCAAATCCTGGATCTTTACTCACAAGGAAAACAACAGATGCCTCATCACACCCCTCATCAGCTGCAGCAGCCCCCATCTCTTCAGCCTACACCACAAGTGCCACAAGTACAACAGTCACAACCGTCTCAAGGCTCTGAACCATCCCAGCCCCAACAGAAGGACTCACAGCAGTCAGCCCAGCAGCAGCAGCAGCAGCAGCAGCAGCAAGCACAGCAATCCAAGAAACCATCTCCACAGCCGAGTCCTCCCCGTCAGGTCAAACGAGCTGTGGTGAGTGGGCCGTGGCAGAGCCTTGAGCATAGTGGGCTTTCCAGGTGGCAGCCCCACACATTAGTGCTGTTCCTATTTCTAAGGGGTTGCACTGAACACCAGAAGCAGGGGTCACTTGCCCGAACTCATAGTCTGACTGCACGTTGGTGGGGAGCCTGAAAACAAATGTGCTCAGAGGAGAAGCTGCCTCTGAGAACCAGAAGGGCTCTATCTTCCTCCTGCTCCAGCCCTCACTGCCTATGTCATCTCTGACAGAGCTCTGAAACCTGTTGATTTACACCTGCGTGGTTAATACGTGCTAGCGTTGTCATGGTGGCTGCTGGTTACTTATAGCTGCCTGACCCTGAAGGGTAGGCTTTTTCCTCCACCCGACATGGCCCAGACTCCTGTATGCTGACTGCTAGAGTAGTTATCTCTTCCATTCTCTTCATGAGTGCTCAGTTATATAAATGGCACCGGGTACTTGTAAAAGTTTCTAGCAGTAGGAGCACAAAGCTATGTTCCCCATAGAGGAAGCCATTTGTTGTTACACAGTCCCCAAAGGAAGACATGTGGCTAAACACAGATCAGCAAACCCGAGGATCAAGTGTGGGAAAGCACGGTAGAGGGCCTGAAACCTAGTTTTCAGGAAACCTAGTTTTAATTTTTAGGAAGATTCCTCATTCTGTCTGATTTGGAAAGAAGAAAGAGGAAGGGAGCAGAAATGATAATCTGGTAGGTGTTCAGGCCAGAGATCATTTTTGTCTGAGAATATGTGCTGTCACTGTAATTCTGTGAGTGCCTGGATAATCCACTTTTTTCCTCACCACATTCAAGATCTCAGTTAACATTTGTGTATTTTCTTTTGTAACAGGTTGTTTCTCCCAAAGAAGAGAGCAAAGCAGCAGGTAATTTCCTGTTCTAATGTTTTGGTGTTTAGTTTTATGCATTTCTATACAAAACGTTAAATTCATTTAAATTCTTTATTAACGGGGCCGGCCCGGTGGCGCACTGCTACAGCGCGCCGCTTGGGAGCGCGGCGGCGCTCCCGCCGAGGGTTCGGATCCCACATACAGACCGGCCGCTCACTGGCTGAGTGAGGTGCGGGCGCAACACCGAGGGTTGCGATCCTGTTGCCGGTCCCGGTCCGGTACGGGCGTGACACTGAGGGTTGCGATCCGTTGCCGGTCACGAAAAAAGACAAAAAGAAAAAAAAAAAATTCTTTATTAACATTGTTTCCTTCCTGATGTAGATTAGCCTTAAAATTTTGGAGTCCATCAAAAATTTTTTCCCTGTCTGCCAGAGAAAGTGCACAGTCCTCTCTGTTTATCACCTTACCGCGTATGTTTTAGCTTGTATGCTGACAAAAGGTATCAATACAAAAAAAAATTATAGGCAATAAAAATATACACAGTAACATATAAAAATATAATTATGAAAGTAGGAGAACTGTTGCAGCAGAGTTTATTTTTGGAGATCATCACGGTAGTGAGAGTCAAGGTGGTGGGGTCCCCACACTGAACCTAGAGCATCAGCGTGGTGGGGTGGAAGGACAGGAAGTGCCAGGCAGTGTGTTGCCCAAAGAACCACTGAATGACCTTGCCCTGCTGCTTATGCAGGCCAGGCCTCACCTCTTGTAAACACTGGTTTTTTTTCCCATTTGTACAGCCCAAGTTAAGTTGGATAATTTGTTTCTATATTGGAAATAAACAGAGTGAGCAGAATCTGAAAGATTACAAAACAAAAAATTAGAAATGTTGTGTCACTGTCAATTCACCCCATCATACTGAACTCTTTGAAGGCACTGATCACATTTACTCATTTGTTTCTTTGTTGCTTAGTTCTTAGTTCTTGTGAATTATTCGTTAAACTGTTGTGAGATCTTCAAGGTAGGCTAAAGCTACATTTTTCCCAACATTTTTGGGGGAATGATGAGTTCAGTTTAGGTGAATTTTTTTTTTTAGCTCCAAACTGACAGCCATTAAGCATGAGACACAAGCAGGCTATGCTCCATGCCATGTGGAGCAGGCAGTCGACATGAGCTGACATGTGGGTCTTTGAGAGAGGCAGGAAATGAGCTGCCTGGTGAGCTTGGAGGAAGACTTGCCTTTGAGCAACTGGAGCTGAGGGGGTGGAGCATTGAGATGGAAGGATGTGGGTGAGCAAAGGAATTGAGAATTTGGGAGAAATCGAAGAGGAGTCTTGCAGGAATGTGAAGAGCTATAAGGGATAGGATTGAAAATGTGAGTTAGGACTAGATCATAGAGTCCACCTTGAGGAATATGGATTTTGCATAGGAAGTGGGAGCCATTGAAGATTTTTGAGTTGGGAAGTAGCAAAGTCGGAGTTCATTTGAGAACGAGTTCCCTGGCAGCATAAATAGGACAAATGGTTGAGAATGGGGAAAGGCTTGTAAGCACCCAAGTGAGACCTGGTGAGGGCAGGCAGAGTGGTGGCCACAGGGCCAGAAAGGGAGGGTCAAGATGCGGTGTCACTTGGGGTCTCGACCCTGCTTTGCAGTGCGTGCCGCTAGCCACAGAGGGTTGTGGAGCACTTGAAATGTGGCTGACTCAAATTGCCACACACTGTCAGCGTAAAATGCACACTAGATTTCCAAGAGCTCATAAGAAAAGAGAATGTAAAGAAATTTCATTAATAAAGTTTTATATTGGGCCGGCCCGTGGCTCACTCGGTAGAGTGTGGTGCTGATAACACCAAGGCCACGGGTTCGGATCCCATATAGGGATGGCCGGTTTGCTCACTGGCTGAGCGTGGTGCTGACAACACCAAGTCAAGGGTTAAGATCCCCTTACCGGTCATCTTTTAAAAAAATAAATAAATAAATAAAGTTTTATATTGGGCCGGCCCGTGGCTCACTCGGTAGAGTGTGGTGCTGATAACACCAAGGCCACGGGTTCGGATCCCATATAGGGATGGCCGGTTTGCTCACTGGCTGAGCGTGGTGCTGACAACACCAAGTCAAGGGTTAAGATCCCCTTACCGGTCATCTTTTAAAAAAATAAATAAATAAATAAAGTTTTATATTGATTACAAATTTAGATAAAATTTTTGAAATATCAGGTTAAATAAAATCCTAATAAAATTAGTTTCAACTGTTTTTACTTTTTAATGTGGCTATTAGAAAGTTTAAAATTGTGCATATGTGGCTCTCATATGTATTCAATTAAATGTATTAAAGTATACATATTGTATTAAAGGTGTGCATATGTGGCTCTCCTTATACATATTGCTATTGAGCTAGACAACTCGAGCTTGACTGTGGGAGGAGGACGAGAAGGGTGGGCGAGGCGAGAGTAATTCCAGGTATGAGGCAGGGAGAGTCTGAGTGTGAGGTGCCAGCTGCTGGGTCTATCTAGAGATGGAGCATGGAAGTTAGGGCCATGGTTTTGGAGAAGAGACAGATGCTAGAAATGTAGGTTTATGGTCATCACTTAGAGAGAGAGGATTGGTCTCTGAGGAAGAGGGTGAAGAAAGAAGAGGTCCCTGGGCCTTGAACTCAGCCTGTGTTTGAAACAGAGGAAACCAAGACAAAGTGGTTAGCGATGCCAGAGGAGACTCAGATCAGAGTTTGTCCGAGCCAGAATAAAGTAAGTTTCAAGAAGAGCCACAGTATGAAAAACAGAAAGATGGAGTTCTTGTTCGATTGTGTGTGCATGCTTTTCGACTTCTTAAGCAGAAGAGATGACTTAATGTAGCCTGTTTGATGACCTAGCATTGTCATTGTGGATGCTGGCTGCTTGCAGCTGCCTGACCCCATGGGTGGACCGTTTACCCCCAGTGGTCCTGGCTGCTGTGCGTCTCTGAGCAGCACACCTGCCTCCAGATCTCTCCTGACACCAGTTAATGTGCTGCTTCTGACTTGCTGCCAACTGCAAATCAGTATTTGTGACAGAATGAACTTCAGATATGTCTAAATAAGAATAAAAAAGTGGAGATTTCTCTTGTGAGCACCCAGCGGGCTCCGTGACAGGACATTGCTACTCAGGGTCTTTCTCTGTGTTCTCCATACTAGCGAGGACTCCAGAGAGAGTGCTTGGCAAATGAGACGTCACTGCACAGCTGTCCTGCTGTTGTCTTAGGCAGCCTGCAAGGAAACTTGGGTCATGTGGCAAATGGGCTGCCTGTGGGAAGCTAGCAGGTTTGGGGTGGGGGGAGGAGTATCTGTTGTGTTATCCTAGTAGGATGGTTTAGCCGATGCCTTCCTCAAGTTCCCCTTAAAGCCTTTGTCATATCTGTTCTTTTTCTCCCAAAGAAATCTCTGACAGTACATTTTTCTTTTTTCTTCATGTTTATTCACATGAAGAGAGGTATGAGTGGTTTTTTAATCCACCTTTTCTTTTTAGAACCACCACCACCTAAACTCCCCAAAATTGAGACCACTCACCCACCGTTGCCTCCGGCCCACCCACCACCAGGTAAGTGTCTGCTGGAGCAGCGTGGCCAGCCGTCCTTGTCGCCTGTCTGAAGGATGGATGTGGAGGGACTGGGGGAAGCTCAGAAGGGATGCCATAGGGCTAATTTTAAAAGACAGCAGTGAGCCACGATCTTTCCAAAGTTGTTTGTAAAAACCAGATATTTTGAGGATGTTGTAAGTTGTAAGTACATCTGAATGTTTTCGAACCTCTTACATCCAGAAAAGATCTACATAGTATAAATGAATTTAGAATCAATTTTAGGAAAAGAAAACCCTGCCAGCTGATGAACATTCATCCAGATCTGGGCAGGATTGCTGTAGATGTTAGACTCTGGTCTCTCATGCCTGCTTCCTGGTGGCAGGATGTCTTAGTACATTTTGAAGGATATGCAGTTGTTCACAGAGTCACATGGAGGATAAAGACTAAAAAGTTCTCAACAGGTACACAGTGAACTGGGAAGCCTCTGACATCATCTCTAGAAATGGAGGAGAAAAGTTGTAATGGATGTATCATTCTTTGCTTGTGGCACTGTTTTGGAAGATGAAGCATTAAACTAGAGAGGGCAGGAGAGGAGGCATGTGTGTTTTCTGCAGGGTGGTAGGTATTCCAGAAACTTCTGAAGCTCTGTCAGCATCAGCTCTCTCTGCTGCACTGACTGCTGGTCGGTGCATGTGGCTAACACTGTGGCCCATAAATGCAAATGTGCCGCTGAGGAAGTTTCTTCCTGTTTCGGTTCAGTCATGGTAGTTTATGCACTTTGAGAACAGAGGCATCATTTTCCACTTTGGGCCAAATCCCACAGTCCCTGACTCATTGTGAACTTTGCTTAAAATGATGTAGTACTTGTGGCGTATCTCCTTGGCCAGTGCAGTTCCCCAGCTCCTGGGGGCTGTGCCCCCTACTTGAGGGCCCTGACAGAGCAGCCGCTGTGGAGGCTACCTGCCTTGGAAGTCTGTCTCTGGCCCCCATGGGAGTGCCGTGGCCCAGGGGACTCCCACTGGGGATGGCTGGGGCAGGTGGGCTTGGGCACTGAGTAGGACCAGGAACCAGCCAGGCTGCTAGGAAGGCCATGGTTGGAGGGAGAGTGGAGGCTGGGAGCGTGAGGACTCTCTCACACAAGGTCCCAGGAACCATTTTGTAGTCTCGATGCAGAAGGATTGGAGGAGGAGCAAGAGTCTGTGGCGTTAGGGAGTGAGAAAAGGAGAGAGAACCAAAGTTCCTGTGAGGCTCAAGATGACAGGGAAGAGACGTTAGGTCAGCAGTGACCTTTCGGGGGGGAGCAAGAGTCTGTGGCGTTAGGGAGTGAGAAAAGGAGAGAGAACCAAAGTTCCTGTGAGGCCCAAGATGACAGGGAAGAGACGTTAGGTCAGCAGTGACCTTTCGGGGGGGGGCAGTTTCTTGGCAGGCAGGTGTCAGGAGTGAGTATGTAGAGAGAGTGGGGTGCTAAGGAGAGACCACTTTCTGTTCCAGCTTAGTCACCAAGGACAGGGTGGATGCACTGGTGACTTAAAGAGGCCGTGCAGTTGAGTGTCACGAGAGTTAGTTTCTTTAAGGTGGAAGAGCGTGTGTGTGGACCCAGGTGGCCGTGGAGTGACACAGGAGGCATTAAGGGGGTTGGCACATTTTTGCACATATCTCTTTAGTTGGCTTCTAGAATCAAAGGGCACCTGACGTGGAGCCTGAGCAGATTCTCTATAGGCATGTTGACCTTTTAACTTGGTGGGGTGGGGCTGCTGACTGGCACACACCAGCCCCAGTGACATACCTGTTGCTGACCTGAAACTCTGTTCGCCCTCACTTTGGCGAGAACAAACGGGCTGTGCACCCAGTGTCCCCATCTGCATAGTCAGGAGACTATCTGCGCCTTGCCTGACCCAAGAGAACACACGGGGGCCAGTGCTTGGGGAATCGGAAACCCCCTTCCTGGCCTTGGCTTCTCCTATTTGGTGTTCTCTGGAACCAGAAATTTTCCTCCTGTGATTTGTCTACTTCCAGGCTGCTGTGGGAAAGGACACACATTCTAAGTATTTGGCTACCTGTGGTGGGTTGTTCCAATGTCGTTTTCCAGGGATCTGACCATGACTAAGGGATCAGAGGCCCAAAACGTGTTAAAGGAGGCATTAGAAGAGGGCATATGAGGGCCAGTGGGCTGTGAAGCACCATGGGAAGGGCCTGGGCCCGTATCTGAGCGCAGGAGTCTTGGGAATGCTCGGCCCCGGTGCCGCCTACCCCTGCTACATTTGCAGGCCCACACATCTTCTGAGGAAACTGCCATCTGGGCGTACACAGTGGTGTTGACTCTCGCTTCTCTTCAATATAATAGAACCAGAATTGCTACTTTCATGGGTACATTGGGACTGTCAGAGGCTTGTACAGTGTTTTTAAATGAATTCCACCTCATTCATTTGACCATTCTCAGGCTTTCTGTTAAATGCCAGTGCTGCAGACAGTAATGCAATGTAGCCCTGGCTCCTGGGCTCAGTCTCTGGGGGCCTGAGCAGAAGGGGGCTCCCTGTGCTGCTGAGACTGCCTGTGGTTGCTAGTCGGGCTGGGAGAGCGGGGAGATACCTGATGGCGTCAGGACATGGAACTTGGCCAAGGTGGCAGCTGCTCCCTGCTCCTCTGAAAAGACGGCCCTCAGGGCGCGGCAGCAGCTCGCCAGTGGCCCTGATGGGGTGGGATGCACTAAGCAGTGCTGAATTCACAGCCAGAGCCATCTCGAGCTGGGCACTGACTTGTCTCTCTTCTGCAGACCGGAAGCCTCCCCTCGCCGCTGCCTTAGGTGAGGCTGAGCCTCCAGGCCCAGTGGATGCCAGTGACCTCCCCAAAGTCCAGATTCCTCCTCCAGCCCACCCGGCCCCCGTTCACCAGCCACCGCCGCTGCCCCATCGGCCCCCACCGCCACCCCCTTCCAGCTACATAACTGGGATGTCCACCACCAGCTCCTACATGTCGGGAGAGGGCTACCAGAGCCTGCAGTCCATGATGAAGACTGAGGGCCCCTCCTACGGCGCCCTGCCCCCTGCCTATGGCCCACCCACTCACCTTCCCTACCACCCCCACGTCTACCCCCCCAACCCACCCCCA